ATAGGGAAGCCTTGGGAAGTGAGTAATTTTGCTGAACATAAGTGCAAAGATACAAGGAAGAAAAGTGGTGGCTGAGCATAAGAATTATCAGGTGAACTCACTAGAGGTATAATATCCTTCCTGGGTATAATATTATGGTACATGTGTCTCTGCATGGTGGAGGCCTACTGTTTTTTATAATTAAAGTAAAATTCTGCATTGTTCTCATTTCCTCCTAAGGTCCAAGAGCATTTGTTTGGGGAGGGATGAAGAGTGGATGTGTTTGTTTGTTGGATTTTTTGTTTATTTTGAGAGAGGGTCTCACTATGTTGCCAGGCCTCCAACTCCTGGATTCAAGCAATCTTCCTGCCTCAGAGGGGCTGGGACTCCAGGCACATGCCATCATGCATGGCTTGTTTATGAGTTTTATTGTTAAATTCATAATGTAAGGGAAGAGGCGTAATTTGTTAAAAATTGGTATGTTACATCTTGAAAATGAGAACACAAACTTGGTATCACTGTTCCAGTGATCTTGAGCTTCAAAAACTTGCCTGCCAGCAAGTAGCTATGGAAAGGTCTCCAGGAAACCAGCACAGAAGAAGGGAATTCCTGCCCTCCTTGTGGGTGGAGAGGGAATGTCCCTTGTAATCCTGGGAATCTTCCTTGCCAAGCTCTGGCATAGGGCTTGACTGAAGGCTAGGCTGGATCCTGGCTCAGGGCCAGAGTAGGATAGACAGCCATTACAAAATGAACAATTAGAAACCTGATGTCATGGTAGGGCTTCTGTCTTACACAAGTGTTCATAAAGCAGTTACTTCATGATCCTAAACTGATTTTTACTAGTTGACCCATGAAGGCACATGAGTAAGAATAATCAAGAACTAATGAGTAGGCACAGTTTTTTTTTTGTACCTGGGATTGAACCCAGGGTATTTAACCACTAAGCCACATCCCCAGACCTTTTTTATTTTTATTTATTTTTTATTTTTTATTTTGAGGCAGGACCTCACTAAGTTGCTGAGGCTGGCTTTGAACTTGGATCCTCCTGCCTCAGTCTTCCAAGTCATCGGGGTTACAGGCACATGCCACCACATCTAGCTAGTATGCAGTTTTTAAAAATAAATTGAAATAACTGTCATTTTTTTTCAAGAAATCTTTTCTTGATATCAAGTTTCCCATGTGTGCTTCACAACTCTCAATAAAAAAGTGCCTTCACCCAAAGAAAGCCCTTATAAGCATTTTGTATAATATTCTAATATTATATTTCTGTCTTCCTCTAAATATTTTCATTTAAGCAAACTAGACTTCCTGCTGAAGCATTTAATTCAGCAATAACCCTTGTCTGCTTTTCTCACACAGGATCCAATAGAACCTCTAAAGGAAGAAGTCTTATTGGGAAGCATAATAAGCCCCCTTCAGTCACTGGAAAAGGAGTTACAGTGGAACCAGACTTCTCTGTGGATGAGTTTTCCACGTCCCTCCTCACTGGAAAGCTCACTACTGTCTTTCTTCCAATTGTCTTCACAACTGTATTTGTGGTTGGTTTACCAAGTAATGGCATAGCCCTATGGGTCTTTCTCTTCCGAACAAAGAAGAAGCACCCTGCTGTGATTTACATGGCTAATCTGGCTGTGGCAGACCTCCTCTCTGTTATTTGGTTTCCCCTGAAGATTGCCTACCACATACATGGCAACAACTGGATCTATGGGGAATCTCTTTGCAAGGTGCTCATTGGCTTTTTCTATGGCAATATGTACTGTTCCATTCTCTTCATGACCTGCCTCAGCGTGCAAAGGTATTGGGTTATCGTGAACCCCATGGTACACACCAGGAAGAGTGCAAACATTGCTATTGGTGTCTCCCTGGGAATATGGCTGCTGATATTGCTGGTCACTATTCCCTTGTATGTCATGAAGCAGACCATCTACATTCCAGCCCTTAACATCACGACCTGTCATGATGTTTTGCCGGAGGAGGTGTTGGTGGGGGACATGTTCAATTACTTCCTCTCTCTAGCCATTGGAGTCTTTATGTTCCCAGCCTTCCTCACAGCCTCTGCCTATGTGCTCATGATCAGAACGCTCCAATCTTCTGCCATGGATGAACACTCGGAAAAGAAAAGGAAGAGG